GTATAGAAGGAGTATGTTCCTTCATCAGGTACTCTGAGTACTTCCAACAGTATAGAAGGAGTATGTTCCTTCATCAGGTACTCTGAGTACTGTCAATATCTGTCATTTCAAACAACATCAAATTTCCGAACCTGCTACCTATAGTACAGTGGACGTAAGTATTAAAATTTTTAAACAAAAAATTACTCCGTCAAATAATTTTACCATAAGAAAAACAACAACATTGACATAAATCCAGTGAAAGTATAATGTATTGAAACAAATGATTTTACTAGCTCAAAACAACCACTAATATTGGAAAGATCCACACAGCTGTGAACTATAAAGTTTCTGAAAGTAGTGCCTAATTGTTTTAATATTTTCATTATATCAACAGAATCAATGCATTGCAAATTCATTTAGAAAACTCAATTCTTCGGTGGTTAGCATGTCGGACAAAGAGCTGAGTTTTATGGTCAGAAAACAAGCAGATCTCTTTGGGGCCATGATGGTGTCGGACAATTCCTACTGTCTGAGAGCAGATGGTGTTAATTAGCTGCCTTCCCTCTTGTCTGTTAAATAAATGTTCAGGATGGCTAGCACAGATAACCTTTGTGTGCATGACATCCAACAAAGTAGCTGAATGTATTTTCTATTTGTTTAACTTTCAACTATGGTGGTTAGTGTGTAATCTCTATAGTGTATGTTTCTAAAGTTTGCTTGCTTTTATATGTTAGAAGACCGAAAGCACAGTAATAGTTCTGTATAACTTTGTTTACTATCTTAACGTAATTTGAATGGTTAGCTGTGTTATTTCTTATTTACAAAGCATTTTTCAAACTTTTTTCTTTTTAGATAATGCATCCTATATTAGAAGATTACTTTGAAAAATTTGACGGAGCACAGTATATACCACGACCATGGTTAAAAGCTGTCTATCCACATGATTGAATATCTCATTGATGTTTTTATTATTATATTTTTGACCACAGAGGTACAATTAATTTTGGATTGCATTCAGTAATTGATGAAAAACTATCTATTGTCATGAAATGTTAAATTATGTGTGATCTTTAAAACAGTGATGATGTTGATTATGCTATGATAGTTCTTTTAAACTACCATTATTTGAGATATGTTAATATGTACATTATAAAATGTAACTCACTATAATTATATGATGGAAATATGTAGATACACTAAATTTGAGGTTTCACGATAGGGACATTTTTGTGATGAATCATTACGTACAAATAACGGTTATGAATTCGGTGTGTTGAAACATACATAGTTTCATGATTATTAACTCTTAGCTGCATCTTGTGTTGCTTTTCTTTCTATTTTTCTCTAGTTTCATGAGGAATGAAATTTAATATTTTTTTCTGTCTTTGGCTAGATTTATATATAATTTTAGTGGCTATAGTAGCTGTTTGGAGATAAAAAATACAACTGATCCTTCATTCCCCTCCATGTTTCCTAAATTCAGGTATTGTGAATAACTTTTTAATATGTAAAAAGTTATGTATAGGAACTTTCTTGTCATTTTTTACAGTTTAAAAATTTATTAATTTAAGTCATAGATTTAATGTTTTAGACAGATTAACCCTCATCGGCACACCCTTTGAAAAGTTACGTTGTGGAATACCTGGGGTTCAACCAAACCCCAGCATAAAATTACCATTATAGTAAGTTCTGGATTGTAATTCCAAAAACTAATTGCATTACAACTTACAAGTTTTATTAGGGTTAGCATGCAATGTGAACAATGTAAAAATATGTGTATTCTAGAAGAAATTACAAAATTATATTGTTCCCAGTATACAAATAAGTAGTATTAAACCATTCCTTATACAAACAGTGTCAAAAAATAACAGTTTTATTATACTCCTATATTCAAGTCATTATCTACCAATATATGATGAGATTACCATAATACTGCTGAATTCAACTCAAAGAAAACTGAAGATGTAGGTTGTGTGTTACCTTGGGTCTAACCAAACATAAATGTATTCTTATACTTTTAATAGTAGGCTAGGGATTAAAAATTCAATAAGTAGGTTATTTACAACAATTATTAAACAAGGTTTCTATAAAATAGGGCATTATAACTAATATTTATATAAGCAGTCATCATAGAGAACACTTGTTGATGAATGAGATACACATACGTGCTTATCAATTTGAACATCATTGTGGTAAGCACGTAGACTCCAGATAAATATTAGATTATTGTTATATACTCCGTCTGCCTGTTTCGAAAACAACAATGTCACATTGATCCAGGGTTTCTGCTTGATAGTTATATGATCTGCTATAAATTTGTAATGATTATGTAAAATGATATACAATTGAGAAAGTTGTTGAGTTCCATATGCTGATGAGGGTTAAAGCTTGACTGTTAACTATACTAGCCAGAGAAAAATGATCTTTATTTTTGAGAATTTTTCATAACTATTTTACCCATAATTCCAAAGTATAGAGAGTTTTCTAAATACTAAAAATAAGAATGTACTTCTGTATTTATTAGTGTAGATGTACAACTAAATACTAAAACTAAGAATGTACTTCTATATTTATTAGTGTAGATGTAAAATTTTTGTTATGAACTTCAGGTTTTCCATCCAAGTGGAACAACTTTGCGAAGCTGCATTTTCATTTGGACTGTTCTTGAATTGAGTTATATAGTGGTAACTTACAGAAACACAACCTGTTACAATATTTGGAGCAAGAACAGTATTTATCAACATCTTATAAATTTACACCATTTACTTGGATAAAATAAGTTTAACATTCACGTCAGAAACATAGCCTGCTACAATAATGCAAACTTAAACTTCATAAAATTCAGCTACACAGATTTTTAAAATAATATTAATTTTTTTCTGTCACATAAGGATTTTTTATGAATCGGGGAAAAAAAACGCACTTGCTTAGATCAAATTTACCACAAATATAACAAAATATGTTTGGGTCATTTACACAACCTCTTGTTGCCATAGCAATGAATATATAATATTGAAAATAAGAAAATAATGTCAAAGTGCATGCACAAACAAATATTATTCAGAAAAGACATGTCATGCAGCCTGTTAACCATTTATATACTAGTGGTGTGTTTCTCATAAGACTTTTTGCATCAGGATTGGTCAAGAGAAATCTGTACCCAGGGGTTGTCAATATTTTAATCATAGCAAAATGTGACCTGATTTTAATGAAAATGATTCACTTATGTAAAAGTACATATGAATTTTTGTGAAAAATCTGTACATAATGGAGAAAAATGGATATCATTTCTGGATTCAGTGTACAGGAATTACTGTAGAACGTAAATATTTCAAGACAATAAAACCATCGCAGGCCTGTGTAATCAGGGCTAGAGCTGCAGTTTCCAAAATCATATAAATTTACCAATGAAATAAGTTTAACACTAAAATTGTATAAATTTTCTCCAATAAAATAAGCTTACCATTAAAATCATATCAATTTACTCCAGTAACATAAGTTTAACACTAAAATCATATAAATTTACTCCAGTAACATAAGTTTAACACTAAAATCATATAAATTTACTCCAATAAAATAAGTTTAACACTAAAATCGTATAAATTTACTCAATAAAATAAGTTTAACACTAAAATCGTATAAATTTACTCCAATAAAATAAGCTTAACACTAAAATTGTATAAATTTACTCAATGAAATAAGTTTAATACAAAAATCATATATATATATATTTATCCCAATAAAATAAGTTTAACACTCATTTGATATCCTTAAAAATATTATACCCTCTAGTAATTATTAGTAAAGAAATAAAAATGACTGTGTCTCCATAAAACATTAGTTTTAATTATCATTGTTTTGCTTTATAGTTTCATCTGGGTTACAGATATCTGTAAACCTATTTACTACGTTGTTTTTGGTGATGAAACACCAATTTATTATTGAGTGTAAAATGTGAAAATTCTTCAAAATATTAACAATAGTAGTCTAGTGCTGCTGTAATACTTGTAGTTTTAATGTATAAACCCAGATGAAGCTATAAAGCCATACTTTGATATTAAAGTTAATTTTGACTGGACTTAATGCTTATTTTTCTTTCTTTACATTATGTTCACTACAATTCATACAATTTTGTATTATATTATTTAAATAATAAAAGAAACTTGTATACAATGTGCTTATAAAATAAAATAATTACATACTTTTACTTTATTTCTTTTGTCAACTGAATATTTTACATGAAAAATGTTCTCTTTAGCTGTCGAGTCTCATCTTGATCTTTAAATGTAATTTGTTTCTTCACTGTGTTCTTGAACTCGAGTTTAAATTTTTCTCAAAATCCATGTTTTGTTTTTAAAAGTTTATTTACAGCACAAATAAGTTTTATCCCAGATATTTGAAGACACTTTATTGATTATAGTTTTGGGGTGAAAAGTATTCTAAAATCATAAACACCTTGTTAGAAAACTTGATTTTTCTTTATGAAAACTTTTTTCAGCAGATTTAATTCTCTTGCTGTAGTTTATGCTATGAGACTATTTTTAAAAAATGGCCTAATAAAGTAGGAAATCTTATGCTTAAAGAATTTGATATATTTGTTAGTTCTTTAGACTTAGTAAGGTTGGATAAAATGGTTTGCCAAATAACCTTCAAGATATGATTTTATCTTCAGGCATAGCGCTCTGAATTGGCTGTAATTTTTTATTAAAAGTATATGAAACATAGAAGCTAAATAATATAAAGCAAGCATCATGTGTAATGTTTTTAAAAACTTCTGTTAATATAACTGAATATGTACATATGACAATAAGCATTATTAGCTACATAGAACACAAAGATTTACTACTATCACTAAAAGATGACTTATTAACTTTAACTTTGTCTTTCTTTTTATAGATAAATTATTCGGGAATTATTTTATTAATTGAATTGTGAAATGTAAATACAAAGATTCTATTAGGTAGTACCAAACTCCACACATTGACTTGCAAGAAATCCAGTTTTGAACATTTTTAGGTCTTGTCATCCCAACTAGCTGGTATTGAACATCATTAATGTGTTAGGTTAGGAAAATGGTTTGTTGTAGTTTTGTTAGATGTACACATTTTTGATATTTCAATAACAAAATAGTATTTTGAAAATGAAAAGTAACATTCTGATGGTTGTGATATGGTTTTAATAAAAGGCTATCATTTAATAACACTACAGCTTATTTTATTATCAAGAAAGAGTGACCAATCTGAAGGTTTCGATATCAAATCCCCTCCCAGAACATGCTTTCCCTGTTAGCCATGAGGACATTATAATATGATGATCAATCCCACTGTTTAATGGTAAAGAGTAGCCCAATAGTTAGCAGTGGGTGGTGTTGACTAGCTGTCTTCCCTCAAGTCTGTCACTTCTAAATTAGGAACAGCTAGTGCAGATAGGCCATTGAGTATCTTTGTGCAAAACTGACAACAAACAAATATAGAATTGAATGACAGTCTCACTTGTCGACCCGACGAGTGATGACATTGCTTGAAACTGTACATATCTGTTTTCTTGTCACAATTCACCCTAGTAAGTCATAAAGAAAACTTGTATGTTAAATTTAGTTGAAAAATAATAGCCTGAAACCCAGTTGTAATGAAAGAGTATAAATGTATGTTTTTTCAAAAACCATACCAAGTAATTAATTTTCTCGGCGTGTCATCATATTTTCTATGAGGATGATAAAATATGTTTATGGTGTACTTTGTGGAATGAACTAAAATATGTGAGGAGTATACCTAGTCAAAACTGAACTTTTTTACTTGCTATTTACAAAATATTTAAAATATAAACACACACATATATATATATACATTCTTCTTGTACTGTAGGAAATAAAAAAAATTGGATTCACCAAGTGTAATTGTATATCAAAAAGTATGTTTCATTAGTTGTTGGTATTAGTGTGGAAATTTTAATTCAGTACTTCAATAAAAAGGACTGTTTAATGAGAATTAACAGTGGTAGTCTGTGGTTAATATGTTTGAAAGATCAGTGGTTGAAGTCTTGTCAGGTTCAGACTATTGCTTTAATTTACATAATATTAGGACAGTAAAGAAAAGGTAAAAATTTAAACCATCCTTTATTTCACAGGAAATTATTTATTCCTCTCTTAAATTCTTGTAAAGTGCTGATGGAAACTCATTCCTTGAGTCAATCACCCTGTTAGAAAAATAAAATTGTTTTAACTAGAGATTAACCTGTATTTATTGTAATCTTAATCTTTCTTCTGAGGTGATACACAACTCTCAACATAGAAAGCTATCTTCCCTCTGCATCTGCCTTAGTGATTTGCATCCCATTGGCCTCTAGGCAACTCCCACCTAAACTCATGAGTTTCTCATGATTTGTGCTACTGCATAATGATGTTATTATGTAGCAAAAGCCCTCCACCAATAGGAGGGCAATACAGCCTCCCTGCACTCTAGCTCCCTCTGTGCTTTTATACTCGTGATCTTCATTTTATTCCTAATCACTGAACTCATGTTTTTAACAAGATTTGCAATGTTGAGGGAACTTAATTTCCTTATTTTTTCTTAAAAGTATGAACACTTGGTCATGTAACATCTTCTACAACATGTGGAGTGACTAATTTCCTCACAAAGGTTATGAAATCATGGTGGCTTATGGAAGCACGTTTCCTGGGGAAGGCATGGTGGCCATTGTGGATAGGATAATGGGTTCTCTTCTGCTGCCAGGTACTTCAGCTTGAGTTCCTTCATCAAGCATTCCTTCCCTGTATTTCTGGGGTAAATGAGGAGGAAAAATTTGTTTGTTCCCTCTCCTGCTTAGACCCTGAGAACTTCTTTGCCTGTGAAAGAGGCACTCCAACTCGCATTTATTTGGACTTTTTTATCAGGTATGCTCCATTTTTTATATTTCCCCTGTGTTATATTATTTTCCTGTTCCCTACTTCTTTGTCCTAACCCTAAATCATTTCATTTACCATTCCTGGACCATTTCAATTTCTGCATCATTACACCTCTCCCTTCTCGTTTATCTTATTCTTCTTTCCTCAATTTTCGTCATTCTGCACTTCCCCATTTGAGATTCTCATGATTAAGACTGACACTGCCTTTAGGGGGGGGGGACTTCTGGTATCGCTTTCCCTCTTCTCTCAACATCTCAAGTCTGAGTTACTTCACCACTGTGGCCATCCCCTTCTACTTTCCTGCTCACTCACTTACTTGTTCCTGGGGACTGTTGGATGGGGATATTCTCCTATCCCATGTCGACTTCTTTCGGCCCTTTGCCTAGCCCCTTTCTTTGCCTCGCAGTTTGGTCGTATTCCTAATTTGTTTGAATCACAGGTTGAGGCTGCCTATCATGTATCCTTACTTTCATCAGTAGTTTCCACACTGTCCTCAACTGTACTTCTGCTTCATCCTTTCCTACCTTTCTGTTCTACCCAGCATCATTCCTGTTGAGTTCGTCGGTGCCATTTCCATCATGTTGAGTCCCAAGAATGCCCGACTATCACAGTTTAAGCACATGTGGTAACACTTTCTTTCCACCCTCAGGGTTTCTTCTTTTAACCCTTGAGCTTCTATACATTTCCCTTCCCCCCTTCAGCCGCATTCTTGTTTATTTTTCTCCTTCCACTCTCATCCATGTTCCATGTCTTTTTGAGGCTGTGCTAGTCACCACTTCCAGCAACTCCTCCCTCCCAATCAATATCTTATTCATCATAGTGTTTTCAACTCATCCTCCGCTGGAATCTGCCTGTGATTATTTGACATTGTTGTCACTGGGATTTGTGCCTGACCTAGTCATTTTGCATATGTAATTTCTTTCTTTTTTTTTTTGATCACCATGGCTTCAAGGGGATTGCTTACCCTTTAGGTCATATTCATCTGCACCTCC